TGCTTCCTCTAGTGGACGTTAGAGGTACTGCAGTCACTAACCAGCAACATCCAGCACTGAGAGCTGAGGCTACTATCTGCCAGTGTTTTGAAAAAACAAAACAGGAAATAGTTTGGTGTTAGATTTGTTTGGAAATCTTGAGATTGATGTCGGTGTTTTAACAGCATGCCGCTGTGTGTTGAGATGCTCCAGAATAAATCAAAGCAGAAGAAGAAATGAAGCAGAATGAGAGGCAGAAGCAGTCGGCGGTGATGGGAGGAGGGAGGATTTGGAGCTGGTGTTTCTAACATTTTCTTCAGCAGTCAACCTGTTTGTTTTCTGAATGAATCGGTTACAGGGTTCACCTGTCTTTAACGGATTTTGGCAGCGTTTCGCCTCCTGCTCCTGCTGGCTCGTTCGAAATTTGATTTGATGGAGAAATGATAGCGAGGGCTACAGAAGTAGAAAGAGGGATGGAGGTGAATGCAGAGGGAGGCGTGTGTGATGGAGAACAGCATGAGTCTCATCTCTGAGTTGGATGATGTTGATTTCACACCTGGATGTTTGTGCTCATCTCTGACTGTCTGAGCATCACAGACCTCCTCCTCCTCCTGCTCCTCTTCGTACCTCCGGGCCTCCCTCTGGTCCTCGGCTGCGACCTTACGAATCCTCCCTGACCCTGAGTCGCCTGCGAGCAGCGGCTGCTTTAATAAATTCATCAGGGTGAAGCTGACTCACTGAATTAAATCAGACGGAGGGAGAGCTGTGGCGCTGCGGGGCTGCTCTCTAATTCAACTGTTTGAATTTGGGTTTTGCATTTGCTAAGTTTAGCCTCTCTTCAGCCTCATTCACATCTGCAGGGGGCAGTTTTTTTTCCGATGCCTCGTCAAACATCCGACCCTCCAGAGGTTCAACTGTCCAAATGTGTCAGGGCGGAGTAGAAGGGGCAGGAGCATGGCAGAGCTCTCTGCTGGCCTTTTAATTCGCCCTCGTCATTGTTTCAGTCTGTGGAGACTGTGCGGCTCACTTTCTGACCTTTCATTTGTGGAGAAGGTTTCCTTTAGCTCGGCCTGACTCTGCAGAGAAAACAACAGAAACAAGCAGACTGAAGAGCTGAGTGACGAGAAGTTATTTCAGGCAGCTGGATGAACTGGACAGTGGCAGTGGCATAAAGCTCCAGCTCCCCTCATGCAGCGAGGTGAAGTAAAAATGTGATAAATCTGAAGGATAAGCAACCCCTGCTGCACTATTCTAACATGCCTTCAGATTTCAGGAGCAGCTGAACAGAAACTAACAAGAGAATTATTGAAAATAAACCAATCAGCAATCATCAGGCAGAGAGAGTGAGGCTGCTTTAATTTTGAATAGCACAGCTATTCGTCTGTAGGCAGCAACTAGTCCACCAGATACCAAAAAGTAACCAAAAGGAACAGCAAATAAGCAATGATTCCAGTTTTTATTTTAACTGGTATGTCACATTTAGAGTTGTGGTCAGCATTTTGCGTCCACTCATCAACAGCATGAATATCGTTTTAATTTGGGCTTTTAGTGAGCTCTTGGAATGGCTCTTTTTCCAGGGTGGAAGGATTATACAGCAGCATGTTTAATGATTTGAGAAAATACAAAAGAAATTCGTTTTTTTTTTTAAGTCATTGATGATGAATGCTGTGCAATCACTCCACCCTGGAAAAAGAACCATTCAAACCTTGAAAACCCCAAATAATTTCCATGTTTCTCATGTGTTTAATGTGTTTACGGGGTCTCTGTGGTTCGTTCTAGCTTTGCGTTGACCCAAGTCATAAAGAATTCGGGGAAAGGAGGAGTTGCACTTTTTACTTAAGTTGCTTTCAAAAGTTTCATTTCGTAGTTGTGGAAATACTTCTTTGTTATGACCACTCCAACTTTAACACACAAAATACTACCTACAGCAATACACAACCCAACGCATCTCTCAAATAAATGAAGGAGTCTCTGTATGTCAGCCTGTTTTTTGCCTTTGTAAAGCACTTGGTGACTTGCATTTCTGAAGACCACTGGAAGAGTGTTCACATTCAGGTCATTTCAATTATATTTTGATTTCATTATGCAGCCCTTTAGTGCAAAATGCAAAATTGTAAAATATTGTCACAGGTGACAGTTTGGAAGGTTCCCACAGCTACCAAAAATTAGTCTGGAATATTCTTATAGATCAAGAAAATAGCCAAGACTGTTCTGATAGATTCAAGAAAGAGAGTAGGATGTTCTCATAGATCTAAAAAAAAGAGCCTAGAATGTTCTCAAAAAAGAACCTTGTAACATTCTCCTAGTAACAAAAAGAGCTAGAGTGTTCTATTTAAGAAAGAGCCTAGAATGTTTTCATAGATTCAAAATGTCTGTTACTTGAAACTAGACTTGTAGTCAAGACCGCCTAATCCGAGACCAAGACAAGACCAAGACCAGAGGGTATCGAGACCAAGACAAGACCAAGACCAGAGGGTATCGAGACCGAAGACCAAGACCAAGACCAGAGGTATCGAGACCAAGACAAGACCAAGACCAGAGGGTATCGAGACCAAGACAAGACCAAGACCAAGACCAAGTTGAGACGAGACCAAGACCGAGACCGAGTCGAGACGAGACCAAGACCAAGACCGAGACAAAAAAAGTCTTTAAACTGCAGCCAGATGCTATTCTATATACATATTCAGGACACCTTAAACTAGTTTTTTAATTAAGCAGCAAGGCAGAACAAAGTCGGGCCTGTATCAAGACACAGGGACTAAACCCCAATTCAACCAGACCCAAAACTGATCTGGAATTAAAACAGGACTACAACAGTAACCAAGACAGAACCAGAATCAGAACTAGATGATAGTAGCACTAAAAATCATCATAGACCTGCACTACACTTATTTTTTAATTCTACCAAAGTACAATATTTAGATTGAGAAAAGTTTATATAATTATTTAGCCTCGTTGTGCAAACAAGCCTGCATAACTTAATAAATATAGAATTTGAAAAGTAACAAATGGTATCTAAAAAGAAACACTAGGTACTAGATACATGTTCTGATGAGTTTTGGCAAACAACCATTTGACTAACATGTGTGTCTCACCTGCTCTTGTTCCATCTCTGTTCTGTCGTCATTCTCTCTCTCCCTCTCTGCTCCTCTCTCTCCCTCTTTGTGCTGACAATCAAGCCAAACACCAACATCATCAAATATACAGTTGAAACCAGATATTTATGTACTCTTCAGATAAAAACACAAACACTTTTTTAATTGTAACATCAAATCACATGGACTCTACTAACCTATCAGAAGCTTCTTTAGCTCAGAATGGAATCGTCTGGAGTTTTCTTATTAATTAACAATAAACTTAGTGTATATGTACTCCTAAATTTGATGAAAGTGATTAAAATAGACAGCTCCCTCTTTTTATTCTGACATTTAACTAATTCAAAAGATATTTCAACATTTATTTATCTAAAACAAAAGTTTACTCTAAATTGATGTTTAACAGTAAAAAAAAGTTTTTATGTTTTCTCCATAAAGTGTATGTAAATATCTGGTTTCAACTGTGAATATACTGCTGTGTATTGAAATTCCTCTTGTTTTGCATAGATATACTGAACAACATCCAAAGCATAATATATAAAATAACATCTACCTGAGTTTTTTCTTTGAAAGAAGCTCCTTATGTCCATTGTTGTGTTCATCAGTACACAACTGAAACCGATTTAGAGAGTTTGTTTAGCCGTGGAGGGTAACAACTGAAAATATGAAATGTAAGCTAAGACTAAAAAATCAGCATTGCTGTTCGGCTTTTTATTTATCCATTTGTTGATTCACTCGAAGAGCAAGTAACGCAACCAAGTGATCAGTTTGATATCAATCTTTTGTGATACACCGTCATATTTACATTATTAGTTCAGTACGAATGATTTGCTTTGGTACCTGGTCAAACTTAAGCTCTCCTCTGTCTGCAGCAAATTCGCAGGCAGCAGCTTCTCCCCCCTCGCTCACATGGGTGCTGCGCTCAGTCGCCTAGTGCCTGAGCTCGGATCATACCAAAATTAGGGGGAATTTACGACGGTGCGCTCTGTGCTTCGTGTGTTGTTTTTGGGCTTAAGCCCAGTAAGCCACCCCCCCCCCCACTCCGCTGATGGTTGACTCCAAATCTCCCGAACACTATGTCGATTTGAGAACGCAAGACCGAAACAGCGAGACCAAGACCGAGACCAAGACAAAAGTCCGTCGAGACCAAGACCGAGACCAAGACAAAAGTCCGTCGAGACCAAGACGAGACCAACGTAAAAGTGGTCTCGAGACCAAGACCGGTCTCGAGACATCCAACTCTACTTGAAACACTGTGAAATCTGTTTATTAGTAAACCAACTAACAGAACAAATTGAATTTGTTGGTATCAAGTGTTCCGGCATGAGTCCCCACACTATTAGCAAAATGAGTGAAAAACAAAACAGACCGAATAACTGGGAGGATCCGCTGAAATTCTTAAAAGAAATATGACAAATGACCTGTTTTAGCTGCCTCAGCTAAGGTAGATCATTATCTGCAATGGGAGTACTTTTACTTCTGTGTGTATTTCTTTCGTCTTGTTTTCATACTTTTTTAATTTGTAAAGGAATATTTTTAGTTTGTAGTTTTGATTCTCGTGCTAAAAATAAAGAATCTGAATACTTCCTCTGGGCATAGGAAAACAGAGCAGCAGTATGAAATATAAGTATGGCACTGATGAATGACAATAAAGGTCACTGCTCCATCTTGATGTGTCGCCGCTGTTGTGACTTCTCACTTCTGACTTTCTTGCTGCTGGATGACAGGAATCAGAGCTTTTATACTGTCCCAGAATCCCACCAGCAAACTGTTTCTGAATCACTGCATCTTTTCACTAACATGCTTTTTGAGTGCAGCTCTGTTGGGGAGCTCATTGCTTATCTAAATATCTGAGTGTAAGTCAAAGAGTTCGATGAACCAAAATGCATGAAGGGCTTGCACTGAGCTGTGCTTCTCTCTGTGCAGGTAAGATGTTTAAGTCTTTGGACCTGTCGCTCATCGTGGAGTTTATGCTGATGTTCTACAAAGACAAACCCATCGACTGGCTGCTGGACCACATCATGTGGGTCAAAGTGTGCAACCCTGAGAAGGATGCGGTGAGTGGATCCAACAGAAATCATCAAAAACAGAGGAGATCAATACTGAATGAAGGGTTTACCATGATATCTACCGTATATAACACAATATCAGCCAGAAAAACAAAAAAACTCGTACTTTTAACCATTCTGTCAGCTGCCAAACCTCTCACATGTGCATCAGTATGATAACAGCAACACTTTGAAGTCTTTTCATCGATGAAGGCTTCAGATTGTTATTGGCCCTGACAATTTTCCAACTTTCCGGAGCTTCATATGAGGCTGTTTTGTTTCTGAGTGGCACCTGTGTCACACTGTTAAGCACATCATGTGTTAGCGATCCGGTAGTGGGGCATATTGGTGGCGAACAAGTGACTGACGTGTTTTTGCTGCCTTTGTGTGATTTTCAGTCAGAATGTAAAATCAGCTTTGGCGTTACAAAGAGTGTGTGCAGTGTTTCAGCTCAGTCTCCTGGAAAAAAGTGAAAAAGTCACAGTTTGATTTGCTTCTGTCGATGGACACAAATTCCTGACTGAGAAACAGAACTTTGAACAAAGTGGCAACAGTTTATTTGAACTCAAAGCTGGTTTTCAAAACCGAAACCTTTCCAGTGGTAATTAATAACACAGTTAAAGTGTGAAATTCAAACTGTGCTCACATGAATTTTTGGAAATAAATGAATATATCCTGGTGAGGAGGAGGAGGGGTGTCAGTGGGATTAGTCAGAAGGCTTAGTTTTACTTTGTTTTCATTGGCTGATTACTTTTTACTAACAGGTTAAACATTATCTGGGTTAAAAAAAATACTCCTTCACAACAGTTAATGACGCTTTGTATTTTAGATTTCTCCTTTGTTTATGGTTTGTTTTGTTTTATTACAGTTTAGTTAACTTTTAGTTGTAATGTACTAAGGGCAAAGTTCAAACTAAAAGTGGTTAACGTCTCCTCAGTGAATACTGGAGCGTACCTGTTCCCTCGTTCCTTACTAACAGCAGGGTGAGTCGTGCTTCCAGCCTGAGAGTAAGCGGTTTAACGTGACAGCGTTCGTACTGCAGGGCTGCTGCACGGATGCTTTGTAGTTGAAGATTTGGGAGGATTGTGTGTTTGTAAATATCCCTGTTTGCATCTCCCCCCTCTCTGTCTTTCAGAAACACTGTGACAGGCAGAAAGCCAACCTGAGGATTCGCTTTAAGCCGTCGCTCTTCCAGCATGTCGGCACCCACTCGTCCCTGGCTGGAAAGATTCAGAAACTCAAGGTAATGACTGAGCATCTCTCTGAGCGCAGCTGTATTTATATCACGGCGGGAAATGTGCCGCTCTGTGAGCCTCGTGTTCCCGAAGACGACCACAAACACCTATTAGCAGCAGACACACGGAAACATCCATGAATATAAAAACTTATCAGGAACGTTTTTCCAGCTTGTCTTCCTGTTCCTCCCGACTTATAAGGCCGCCTCTCTTCTGTGTTCCTGTTTCTCTTGGTGTGACCCTGGATAGTTGCCAGACACGACATACTGTGTAGCTCAACACAATCCACACGCTATGTACAGTTTGATCCTGACACCTGGACGCCCACGAGCCACTTGTGTGTAGATGCTCGCTGTCCTGGCTGGTGGCGCTGCTTCACCTCGTCAGCTCTCATTAACGCTGCAGTCAGAAACCACTTTGTTCATCTCGCCTAATAGGAGGCAAACTTTCTGCAAACAGTTGCAGTCTGGCTTGGACCGGCTGCAGATCGCATCAGTCTGAATGAGTTTTTGTCAGTGAGGGGACTCGAGCCTTCTGGTTTCCAGCTGGTTGTATTCTGGTTATACTACCGGGAAGGTTTCTGAGCTCAAATGTAACAGTTAAATGTGAATGTCTGTCTATATACACAGCAGGCATGTGACTTTCACCTATTTATGGCAGCTAGTTGCTGTATTATTAGAAACAGATGACATGTAATTGCCAACTGGACTCCATATTACAGGTTTTAGTGACAATTTAGGCATTTTGCAGCAAAAAATAAGTGAAGTGAAATAATTTTATCTTATTGGATTAAACGGACAGTTTAACATTGAGGACATAATTTACACTTTAAAAAGGTGATAATTTACAATATATGTCACTACAGTAATCAGAAGAACTGTTAGGAAATTGTAATAACTTCCTGTTGTCAGTGAAGTACTGTGATAATATTTGGTGTTGTGTCTGATGATTCCCACCTTTAATAAACTGACAAATGTCGCAAAACTGCTGTTATCTGCATAAACACAAATCCATATTAACTGCTTACCTTCAAAATAAAACCAGAACCTCACAAATGTGAAGCATAAATTCAGAAATTCCTCCATGAATCGTGACGTAGTTACTGCAGTCGTTCAGCAGCCTCACTTTAATACAGGAACATAACCAGAAAACAACCAGCTGGCAACCAGTCGAGCGTCCCAATGATTTCTTTTTGTCCTTTTTGCAGCATGGTTAACATCCTGATTTTGCTCTTATTCCCGAATCAACTCATAACTTTACTGGAATTGAGCTACAACCTAATTTCCAGCCCCATCCAAATTTCTTAAAATATTTATTTTTGAATAAAGGATTCGTCTCAAAAAGGACAGAAATAAGTCAATAAATCAAAACAAAACAATCGAATCCCGTTGTGCCTGCAGTCTGCTGCAGTCTGCTGCAGTGCACCGGCTGACCCTTTAAGAAGAGTTTGGCACAAACGTCCTGTGAATGTTGATCTTTGATTTGTTGTCACGTCTGTTTTGGGGAATCTCAGGTAGACTCACAGCCACGCTGTGGAGCTGGTGGACAAATGGTGCTTATTTCATCTGTTTCCAAGGGGCAGGCGACATCTTTCAGTCGTGTTTTAGTTAAAGATTCTTTATAATTTAAGCTATAATGAGGCAGCGTGGCCACCCGTGGTGTCATTTCAGATTATTTTAGAGATTATTCTTCTGTTCTAAAGCTCAGCTCTGACCCGGACGGCCTCAGTGTGAGTTTCCTGAGCTTGAAGCGGGGTGAGGTTCAGTCCAAGTTCAGTCCAGCGTCTCTGGAGAGATGAAGATTGAAAGCCTCTGCAGTCGTTCGCAGCTTCGCTTCCTGCCAGCAGCTCGGCCCGAGCGCCTCCGTTTAATGCCTCTGATTACTGTGTTAAGCGCGGTGGATATTAGCCCGCTGACTGGTGCTGCAATCTGCTCTAATCAATTGGATATTGATCCGGCCGCCCCGTCCCAGAGCCTCCTCGCTGTGGGGATTGAAGCGCAGAGGCCGGCTGCATGGGGCCGTGTAACTATGGAGGCTAACTCCGCTATTACCCTCCAGCCTGAACTGTTCACCACTTCAGAGAGAAAATCAACCCAGAGTTTTAAAATTAAAGTCATAATGGGAGGAATTGAAGTGGACGTCGGATTTATTCGACTGTAGAGTCGTGTAATTAAGAGGGAAAATTAAGTCTGGAGACTTGTTCATGGACGGAGTGAAAATAACAAAACTGAGTCAGAGTTTTATTTCTCCAAAGTCATTAAATGTCTTGAGTTAACCCCTGACCTCTGCTTGCAGAGACTTTAACACTCAGCTGTAACGGTGTTTGAGTTTGCTGGTTTGCTGTGTAAGGACTCATCACTGAACAAATATCTGTTCACTGACTGTCAGCGAGAACGACTGAATTATTTCTAAGGCCAAACCGTTCCTTTAACCGGAGTTTAAACTCATAATCATCCTCTTTTCATCCCCTCAGTTTTATCTTCAGACACTTCTTTTAGTCTGGAGCTCCACCCGAGCAGCTTTGCATGATTCACAGTTCAGAATCATCCTTCTGTATCTCACACCAGACTTGCTGCAGCTCCTCACTGTCTGAAACAAACTGGTTTAGCTCCACCCCTTTAAGAAGATCTTCGTCTGATTGGTTACCCTCACACACAGCCAGAAAAAAATTGCTGAAGCTGAGCATTTAAAGCACAGTAAAGCCTGACCTCTGACCTCATTATTATAAACTTTGTCCGTGTTTAATGTGAACATCTTCTGCTAGAACAGCAGATCTATGACAGGAAGTACTGAGAAGCAGAGCGGGTCCACTTTAAGATCTGAAAATAGGAGCTTCTTATAAGAGAGTCTCAGACATCACCAATCACTTGCTCTTTTAAAACCTGATATGATGCTGAGCTGCAAAAGTTTATAAAAGGGAAAAGCTTCAGATTTGAGTTTCTCTTTTATTATTTGTTCACAAACAACAGAAACGTTATAAAATCCTCCTGACAGAAATGTGACAGGTAGGGTCAGAAAGGCAGAGCTCAGACAGAAAACCTCATATCAAGCAGAATAAACGATAAAAATATTCTGACAGAACATTCAGCGGATGAACAAAGCCAAAACATTTCGCACATCACAAACAGCAAACTGTGAATGGGATGTGTTTTAACATCTGTACTCTACAATGTCTGAGAGAAACAAGTTTCATAAACAGGACCACAACAAGACAAAGTCACACAACTGTTACACAAATGCATCAGCCTCTGGAGGTGAAACCAGTGATGAAGCACCAAAAGCTGCAGTTCCTCTAACGTCCAACAGAGATTCCAGCAGCGAGTCAGTCCCCATAGACTCCCAAGTTAAAACTTTACAGCAGAATTAAACGTGTTAACACCCTAAAACACAAACTAAGTTGGGGTCTGTGATAATTTAACTCTTCCACACACCACAGGTGTGAGTTTAATTATAACTCACCACTTTAAATTGTATTAAGCCTTATTTTGTTAGGGGCGTGGCCTGTGTTGGCGGCTGTAGCTGCTAGCTGTCTGCTAGCTTACACCTCAGCTAATCGTAGCCCCTGAACTTGGCGTCTGTTTGTGCTGTTGGAGCCTTTTAAAAAAACATTATCTGACCAATAATATGGCTGCTGTGAGGTTATTGTAGTAACAGACTGTCCGAGAAGTCTACGCTCCAGTTTTAGGATTTTATTTGGATGCTACTGACTGCTAATTAGCTAATTAGAAATCTGTGACTGTGGATGTGGAGAGCTTCCTAACCAGGTTAGCTGGATTAGCTGATATCTTAGCACCACTTCTGGTTCTACAAACTCAACATGGTGGTGGTAAAAACGGTGACATTGAGGTATGATCGACAAAGTACTGAGTGACATTACAGTTGTTACTGTGGCAGCTAAGGATGAAGGACCTGGACCACGCCAATGCTCCCCTGCAGGTAACATTAAAAAAGCAGATCACACCTGTTCCAGCTTTGTGAAGGTGACCAGCAGGATTTACAAAGTTGTGCAAACCTGAGGAGCAGTTGCTCTGCCTGCCTGTTCCTCATTACTGATCCCGACAGGCAGTAGCGGTTTTTGATACGGGCGAAACGGGCGGCAATCGCCCGGGGCAGCATCACGGGCATCGGCAAAAAAAACACGCTCATACTCATGCGGCCCCACGTCATGCCAGCGCATAGTGGGAATGGCATAAGCACCGATCGGTTTTCTATCGCCCATTTGCTGGGAGTAAGGGCGCCGGCTGCTTGCGCAGTGTTGGGGAGTAACGGAACACACGTACCGCCGTTACAAAATGCAAAATATGAGTAACTGTATTCCATTACAGTTACTTTGTTGAAATAAATGGATTACACAGCGGTATTTTCCTGTTTCGTATTGTCAGGGGTCAGGACTGTGGGTTTTGCTTGTGCTGTTGTTTTGTTGTTCCAGGCAGCAGCGTTACGGTTGCCATGGTTACAGGGTGACGCTCTCTCTCTGTGTTTCCTGGGTGAGAGAGCGCCTTTTTATTGTTGTTGTTGTTGTGCTAAGCTAATAGGCAGAATGCTACAGGCATAGCCCTAAAGAACGTAGCCTCATGGGCAGTGTAGCCCGTGCTGCAGGGAGAATGGACCGCCATACCCGTTATGTGTCTGTGAGCGTGAGGAGGGAGAAAAGTGGAAAAGTACAAGTTGTCATCGAGCAGAAACGGGAGCTGGAAGCATGTAAATATAATAATAACCACTGCATCCAAGAAGAGTGCCTGACGAGCCCAGTTGTAAGTAAGCTATTAAGACTCGACTGTACACAGTGTTTGTGTTTTTCTCCGAAATAATAAGCTCCGTTGGAGCAGCCTTTCAACGCCTCTCTCTGTCTCTCACTAGCAAACTTGACCCAGACAACAAAGTAAAGCTAGTTTTCGGCTACAAGCCGACACGGGACCGACTATTAGCCAGAGGTCCCTTTACCACAGCTGGGAGCCGCGGACCTTCAGTAATCGTAATAAATCACACAGCAATAGTACATTCATGTAGTTGTAAACAGCATGATAATATATTAAATAATCCAAAGTATTCAGAATGCGTTACTCTCATTGAGTAACGTAACGGAATACCTTACAAAATACATTTTGGGGCATGTATTCTGTATTCTGTAGTGGAATACATTTTAAAAGTAACCTTCCCAACACTGTGCTTGTGGCACAGGGAGGAGAGGGCGGGGCAGCGGGGGTTCTCTGGCTGGCTGGAGCAGCATCTAATAACCAACTGGCAAAATAAAACAAAATAAAAACAAACCAACAAATACGAAAACGCCAGACATTATGATACAGACTTATAATTTGCACCAATGTTTTTTCGAAATTCTATACATGAAAAGTGAGCGTGAGAGCCCTCTGTGCTCGCTGCTGAAGTCAAAATAAACTTTGTCATCTCCGCTATATAGGTCCAGTATATAGAGAGACGAGAGGACGAGGCTCCAGTTACTGCAGTGCAAGTAAACAAACAATAAGTATAAGAAAGGTAAGAAAATAAATAAATATACTCTTTAGGACCAGGGGTAAAGGGATCAATAACAATTAGAGGGAGTGTTCGCCCAGGGCGCCAAACAGGCTAGGACCGCCACTGCTGACAGGAGTCAGAACTGCAGCTGCTGCTGTCATTTCACCTGTAACACAAATATTTGGTAATGAAATGTTGACCACAAAGGGCGCTGTGCCTCCCAGTGCATGTTTATCACAGAGAGTAACGTTATTGGAGTGTAGAAGCATAACAGACACGGTGCCTGCTCACACTGAACTTATTCTGTTAACAAACTGCATCAACAACATAGACGCTGTATCCACGCTGACGTGATGCCTTTGTAAAACTATGAGGAAGAATATCATATCTGTACTGATATGGGCTCGGTAAGGTGTTAGTGAAAGGATGCCACATCATTTGATGAGAATGCAGGTTTAACTGCTTTGTCGCCTTTGTTCTTTAAACTCCAAAACTAACAGAGGTGTTTATTCTTCTTCATTAGATGAATCTTATTATTTCTACTAGGGAAACACTCTCATTAATAATCTAAAGGTGGAAAAGGTTTTGTGAATATTTCATGTTTCATCCACAACGAGGTGGTATGGTAGCAGAGTGGCATGGCTGGATTTTACAGCATATTGTGATCTAATAAAGGCTTCGGATTGAATTAGATCCTGATGGACTGAGTCTGTTTTCTTGCTGTTTGTGTCTGTGCAGTTAAAATCCTATCACATTCTCGTTTTGTTGGCGGCAGTCTTGCGTTATGAGTTTAGGTTCAGAGGTCGGTGCGTGGTCACTCAGTGCTGCTGTTGAATGATATCCAGAATACAAAAAGTCTCTGTAAGTGCACCAGAATAGCGTGACATCATGCTTCTGTTGCTCTTCGGAAGGGTTTCTGCACTGAAGCGAAAATGGATTAGTCATCAAGGACAGCGAGCGCGTCTGGCGATGATACCAGCGGTTCGAATTATCTTCTGGTCACTGCACAGTGGCGTCAGCTGTGCAGTGATTCAGACGTGCAGCTGCAGAAGCATCCAGCAAGGCGTGACTTCAGACTGAAGAAATGATTTAGTCATGTGATGTCTGTTTGTTTGGGGGATTTTTTAGGATAAGGACTTTGGGAAACAGACTCTCCATAAGGGTCACGCCAACCCGCTGGCGGAGGTGACGACCAGTCTGAAGACCTACCAGCACTTCACCCTGGAGAAGGCCTACTTGGGTGAGGACTTCTTCTGGGCCTTCACCCCGGTGGCGGGGGATTTCATACGGATACGATTCTTCACACCTGTTCGCATCGAAAGGTCAGTAACGAAGGACGGGATAGGGGGAGTACCACAGGTTAGAGTCTTCCCTCCGTCCCTGCTGCTCTTACTGAAATATCACCTCTCTCTCTTTCTCTCAGGTTTTTCTTCCGGAGCGGAAACATCGAACATCCAGGAGACAAACTTTTCAACACGTCGGTGGAGGTTCTGCCTTTCGATGTGAGTGTTCAGATACAGTTTTAATGGGTGGGGCATCCTGGGAAGCCTTAAAGTGTCCACATGCTTCTTTGCTAGCTGTTTTGGGTAAAAGTATAGAAGTTTAAAATCTTTTAGATGTGCTTACTTTCTTAAAAGATCATTTCGGTGCGGTCCAGCAGAGGGTCAACTGAGAACAATCTTCGCCCACTCGTGTGGTGGCTAGCAGCATCACCTCTCCTCGAGAATGTCCAGGGTTTGAATCCAGGCTAAGGCCTTTCTGTGAGGAGGTTGTTCTCCATGTGCTTCCTCCAGCACAGTTCAAAGACATGTGTGAGGTTCAGTTTAATTTGGTGTTTGTCTCTGTTAGCCTGTGACGGCCGGGATAGGCTCCTGCACTGAATTGGTTGAGGTTTTCATTTAATGGATAGATGGGTGAAATTTCTGCTTTTTGACCCAGTATCCATCACAATGACAGCAAAGGATGAGAGTGCAAAGTTAACATAGTCTTTAGAAACATCAAGGACGAGGCAGGCAGGCTGAAACAAACCGGAGTAATCCAGGAAGCCCCTAACCGAGAGATTAATTTCCATCTATAGCAGGAGACCATATCTGACTCTGCCATGAGTGCCTGCTATAAGTGAGAACAGATTCAGTTTGTGGTGTGTGGAAAAGGAGGCAGAGTGATGGATCACTGCCACTTTCTGTTTGTGGTCGACTGTAAAACAAAGGCTGAATGAAGCCGAGAGCCTCAGCGGGGCAGAGAGGGGTGCGCTGAGAGGAAGAGGAGCTCCTACCGAGATCAACAGGAGAGATAAAACGAGGAGAAGAATCGGTACGCGCTTACAGGAAGCTGAGCACACAGACACGTGCAGACCAGAGCTGGAGGAGGGAGGCAGTTGCTGCAGTAATGCTGACCAAGAGCAGGAAGGGAGGAGGAGAAGGAGGGGGTGGGACTGGATGATGGCCCTAAAAACTGCAGGTACACGCCAGAAAACGTGGCTGCACAAAACACGATTAATGCTAAATTTGTTAGAAATTTCATCGTCCATGCTGCGGCTGCTCCCGGGGCCGAAACGTGTCAAAGTGTGGTTTGTGGAGCTGAATCGGTTTAGTTCATATGAAGCTCATCTGTCTGTTGTTGTAAAGGCATCAAAGGGCTTCGGCTTTTCTGTGTATCGAGTTAGTAACGCACAGAAAACCTGCAGTCGAGTTTTATCATCAGATCATCGCCTGAGAAGAGTCCAAAAATGATCAGTATTCTTCTGCCTCCATCTCCTCTTATCCCAGCATCCCCCTCTGTCACACCAACCCTCTGCATGACCTCCTTCACAGCATCCTTTCTGAGGTCCTCCTCTTGTCCCCCTACCTGGCAGCTCCATCAGTATATCCGTATATGCTCATCTCCACCCGTTCCACCCCCTTCTTTTCTTCACCTCTCATGGTTTGGATGGTTGACCCCACATATTTACACTCACCTGCCTCCCTCTCATTCACACTTATCTCTTTTTTTCATTTGTGATTCAAACATGATGTGAATGTGTCAGTGGAGCCGTCAGTAATTGAGCTGTTCTGATAAGAGGATGATGGAGGTGAGCTGAAAAGAATTAATTTTAGGTGAAAAGGTCATTGAATTATCATATTAATATGTATGTAATGTGATCATTTAAACTGTTATGTCGAACCGGCGGTATTGTTTGGATTTTTGAGGCTGTAGGTGTGAATAATCACTGTGACAGCTGAGAGCAGGTAAAATGATGTTGGTTTAAATGTCAGAGTGCGTCTTGAGGCAGCGTCTCCATTCAGAAGTTGATCAGCAGCCGGGACAGCGTCTCAGTCTGTGCGAGGACAGGAAACAGTGCAGGTGTGTGCGCACATGGGAAAGCTCCAGAGCCTTTATGAGTACTGTTACTCCGGCACAGGAAGCACGAGAAACAGCAGCAATGTTAATGAGTGAGCAGCTTAAAGTCAGAGTTTTCACTGGTGGATTCTCCCTTTAGCTTCTTTTACCTGGCTAGATCACCATGGCAACAGGTGTGAAACACATGTATAAAGTGCAGAGGGGTGATGCGTTCGGGCTTTCGGTGGCAGTGCTGATCAGATACACAGTCGTATTTCACTAACAGCGACACAAACGGCACTGCAGTCTCAGTTTAGCTGTGCAGTTTTTAAAAAAATATCCTCTTTAATTCCTAATGTTGCTCTTTCTTGTGTCGCCTATACATTAATTTTGTATAAGCCGTGAGACCAGTTTTCCCGTGCTTCACTCGCGTACGTCAGTTTGAAGAGGAAAAAGAACTCCACGGGACTCCGATGTGAAAAGATGTAACAAAAAATTTATTTCACAGTTTGCATCTTACAGGAGTGGTCAGGTTTAACTTATCCTCAACAAAATAACCTACTACGGTAGGAAAACCGTGTGGCTCTGTTCTACCCTGCTGCCGCGTATAGCTTATGCCGTATTAACTCTTTTTCTCTCTCCCCCCTCCCGCACCGCATGCGCTAATTTGCATACATCCGTGATGCCCGGATTTTACTATAAACACGAGTCTTTAAGGCACATGTATTCATGGTACTACGTAACCAAACCAACACAGCAATAAAATAATTTTAGTTCCACCATAAACATGCATTTACTTCCTAAATTATTAATTACACAAACAAGCTTAACAACAGCGAAATATAAATACTAAAACATATGAACTATCTTAACTTGGCTCCCACAAATTTCCTGTCTGTCTTCTCTGAGTGTTTCCGCCTGTGTCTCGTCAACGACTCGCGTTTGTGTTTCCGTTCTTGTTGCTTCTTCAGACAGATCCTGTGATTCAGCCGAACGTCCTTCCAGTGACCTGAAACAATCATTCTCTGTGTGACTCTATAAGTTTCTCACTATACTGCGTTACTTCAGTTCATTGAGGTTTGCGGTATTCATTCATGCACAGGTCTCTGAAGGTCCCATCACAACATCTCAGTCGGTTGAGGTCTGGACTCTGAGTGGACCGTTGCAGATTTGCTGCGCTGCTCTGGATCATTGTCCTGTTAATGACCCAGTTTGGTCTGAGCTTTAGCTGTGGGACAGATTTCCAGAAGTCTTGTTGTTTATTCAGAAGCAGCTTTGCAAATCTAAACCGTGCTGCAATTTCTTTTTACAGAGAAAAGACTTTCTCCTGGAAACCCTTCCGCATAATACCTTAGAATTTAACTGTGCTTTTTACCAGGAACGAGGAAACGAGCTATCCTCAGGGATGTGTGACACCCTTACTTTGTTATTCCTGTCAGAATGGAGAGTTTTGGTAGTTTTTTTAAAGTTAAACAAATCCAGTTGACCTGAGGTGTGTCACATGCACCCCACAGTGCTTTGATTGTTTAAGGAGGTAAATGAGGTTCTGAAAAAAGTATACTCTATTGATCCCTGTGGGGAAATTCCTCTCTGCATTTAACCCATTCACTCAGTGAAGCAGTGGGCAGCCATTGGGCGCCTGGGGAGCAGTTTGTAGGGATGGTCCCTTGTTCAGGGGTACCTCAGGGTAGCCGTTCAGTGGATTCAACCCCCGACCTTCCGGTCACGGGGCCACCACTCTACCTACTGAGCTATCCCTTCCCCATTATATGAGAAGTTATTAAACTTTTAGTGTGTAAAATGAGCCCAAAGCTGCAGAAAACATAAGTTCTGAATCTAAATAGAAAAGTTAAACATAGCTGGAGGAGAGGAGCTGGGGGTTTTTTTTTTATTGCTTTTATTGCACATGTAACTGATCCATGATAAAAATGAGTTTTCTCCTTATTATAACTATAATTGAGACTCTCCAGCTTTCAATGAATGGCCTTAGATTAGATTTATAATTGAATGATGAGGCGTTTTCTTTCTGACACACTAACGATACAAACACAGAGTCAAATAATCTAATTGATTAACTGATCGGCTGGTGTTTCGTTTGCTTCCAGAATATCCAGGCAGAGAAAGAGGCCTTGATAGAAGGGAAGGAGAAAACGCCAAAGTACCACCGGACCGAGGATGGCTTCATCAGAATCGGTGAGTGATGGCACACAGACAGCAGACGGCTGTGTGCAGCTTCACCGAGTTTCCTCGATCATCATCAAGTGATGGGTGTAGCAGCAGCTGAGGACGTGCGACTGACTGCTGCATTTGAGGAGCTGTAATGAGCTCTTTCCCTGCACATGAGCTGTCACAGTTTACATCTGCAGGGAGGGAAAACGCTCCTTTTACTCTTTTATCTTCCTGAACTGTGGAGTGAACTTCGACACGCAGTCTTTACAGCTGATCGAGTTCGGCTGTTCTCCATTTTAAGAACCTGTACTTGTAAGCAGCTCCACAAAACTGCCAATCAGCAGAGCTCAATGCTGAATATTTCACCTCCCAGCAAGGATTATTGTAAAGAAAGCACCTTGGAACAGCTGATCTTTCAAATATCTGAGCCCTGTGCGCTAAAAAGTCACATTAATTTGATTTTTGATTATATTTTGAGTTGTTTTCTCAGGAATGATCTGTGTTTGTGACCATAGACTGTTCACTCGCTGCTTTGTAGTCTTTCCATTTTAAATCCTGTGGGCATATCACACACACGGACACATCTGATAATTAGCGCTCAGTCACATCCAAATAAAATAAATTTTAAAAAAAAACTGGAATCTCAGACAGTCAGTTAGTACAGTAATCTCACAGCAGCCATATTATTGGTCAGATGATGTTATTAAAGATGCTCCAACAGCACAAAGCGGTCCACTTCAGGGACTCCAGTGATCTGAGGTGACAGCTAGCAGCTACAGTCACCTGTGTCTCCATCCACCTTTCAGTCAAAGAAGCCACACCCCTAACAAAGCATAATAATTTAAGCCTATATAATATTTTAACAGGTGACTTATAACTGTACCGTTGCTTTGAAGGATTAAATTATCTACAGAGACCAAAACCATTTTTGTATGAGGCTCTAAACATGTTTATTTCTGCTGTAAAGTTTTAACATGGTGGTCTATGGGGTCTGGCTGACTGCTGGAGCCTCTGGTGGACAGTAGAGGAACTTTAGGCTTTGGCGCTGCGCTTTTATTTGGTGTATTTTTTCAGCTCGTGGAGGTTTCGTGATTCACAAGGCGAAAACCCTCCTTTATTTTTATATATTGAATAATTTAACAGTGATGTTCTGCACATCTTTAACCAGCACGCAGCCTGACAGGTTTGGTGTTTTCCAAACTTTAAGAGCTGAACAACAACTTTTGTTATGAAAACTTTGCATTAGATTGTAAAAACTGACAGGCTGAAGGCCAAAACTTGGTTCCGCTGTGGATGTGAGAAGGTAAAGAGGCAGGTATCGTGCTGAGATCTTACATCAGTCCGCTTTCCATCTGGTAGAAATCCGGCCTTGCAGGATGGTGCTCGTAAAAATGTAAACTTTATTTATAAGTAAAAATGAGCAGATGAAAGAATAAGCAGAAAAAGTTAGAGACTGTGCGTAGGTGCGTTCAGTCAATCGATCAATAAACTCGCCGGGAATAGATTTCATGTCACAGGTTGGATTTTCAGTGTAGCCTCGGGGTTTCACACATATTGGCAGACTGTCAGATTTATCTTTTCATTACTGGAATTTGTTTTTTCTCCAGCTGGGCTGATTTCAGCAGGATTAACTGGAACCTTCAGTAAATAAATTAAGGTGCCCTGACATGCTGTGTGAAGTTATTTGACTTAAAATAAATAAAAACTGAAATAAAACCAACAGAACAAAATTAATCTGCTCATTTGTTCTTTGCATCGGGAGCACCGAGCATCCTTGGTCAGATTCTATTATATGAATGCAAACATTGAAGCTTCTGGCCTATTTAGCTCATCTACTCTTTTAGATTATTCTGGACCACAGTCGTCTTTTTGTCTTTCTCATTATTTGCATGAAAGATGTTGTTTTGTGCATGTTTGAATCCACCTGAAGGAATCAGGACTTCAGAGGGAAAGAAGATACTGGCCTACAGCAGGTGGAAGGAGCGCCAGTGTGGGCTGACATCATAAATTACCAGCAGCTCTTTATCCCCTTCATCAATTTTTCAGATGAGTCGGCGGATCGATCCAGCCGCGCTCCTTCACTCTATTCATTTCATCGTGCTGCCTTCAGGAGACCTGCATCCAATTTCAGTGTGTGAGATCTTCTGTGTGAGAATTAACCGTCTGAGAGAGTCAGGACTAAACGGCATGTTTGAAGGAGGGTGGGCTACAGAAAGGAGGGAACTTCATTTCAGTGAAGTTCAGGTTCCTCCTCCAGTCTGTCATGTCCCAGCATCGAGCCTGAAAGAGCCCAAACACGTGGTTCTGTCCTGGAAAGGTCAATGTTCCCGTCACTTCCACAGAAATCAAAAGTTTACAGAAACTTTTAGGCGCTTCAAACTTTATTTTGTATAAATTTATTTTTGAGAAGCTCGGCATCTTAAACACGCTTTGAATTTTTGTGGGAAATTCCTTCACAAAGAGATCAGTCCTGAGGGGGAAGCATGGGAACTTTGATGTTTTCACTTTTCCTCTAGCACCACCACGAGGCTCGCATTGTTTCAGTTAAAAATGTAATCACCCATCAGATGATTGGGATGGACTTTGGTTCAGTTCATTTAATCAAGCTCAAGAATTCTGGAGAATTCATACCCGAGTATTTCTATTCGTCCTCCTTTCTGCTTCCTGTGCTTTAATCTAGACTTGAAGTGGACCTGAAGTCTGCTGTTTGTTGCCTGAAAGTGTAAAATGTCATCCTCTTAAAAGATTTGTTTCCCGCCTCTGTCGGCGTTTATTGTAGGAGAAACAAAAAGAAAGCTCCCATGTCAGCCCAAGAACTGCCGTCTGATTATTTTTTATTCTCTATGTTCTGAGCCTTTGTGTGATCTGTGTTTCTGGGGACAGCTCTCAGACAGCCGTATACACGAGTCTGGATACTGAGTGAAAACCATAATACCCACAATAATATCAGATAATTCCCTGTGATAAACAATAACACGCTCCCCAGATGCTGTTCTCTGTCAGGATTACAGTCGCTACCTGGAAGCATCACTGCCAGCATGATAATCCTAGTAAATAAATCCTCTGAGGGATTATTGCTCTGTTGAGGTTCAGTTGCCCTGAAACCAACCTCTGCTGGAAGACCCGATACCGGCAGGACGCCAGAGAGGGTCTGATGGAGACTGAGGCTTTTTTCCTGGTAGTCAGGCTCAGAGAAAGCTGGAACCACAGGGGTCAATAAATGGATGGTGGGAACATGTAATGGGTCTTAATAACCCTGTAAATCTGCACAGAAAGCATAACAATCCCTTAATTACTTCAAAATCCCTTTTAAAATGCTAAAAAAGCAGGTTAAAGATTCAAATAAACCTTCGTTAAAGATAAGATGTTTTATCTGAGCCAAAAGTAGGTATATCAAGAGGTCAGTTTTTACCCCTCAGTGTGAAAATCTTGGGGTATTGTCGTCCCACCAGGGCAGCTGGGCGGGGTGATGCAATTGTGTGAACAATTTGTGAACACAATAACTTCAGAGCGAGGCAATGTAGGATTTTCAAGTCTATACTATAGGTGCTTCTAGTAAAATCTCAGTGAAAAGCTTTCAGGCACAATATCTCAAAAAGGAGTTATACCACATTTATACCACAGGTGCATGTACTATGAGGCTGGAGGTGAGCACTGCCCACCGCCAGTATTTTTGTGAAGCATGTTCTTTGTCATGCAGGAGCCAAACACAGGCACAAAAATTAGTGACCAAAACAAAAAGTGAGTTTTATTCTATTCAAGGGTACAGAAAGACAAAACAGAATAAAGCACACCCAAATCAAGTGAAGAAGAAGCCTGACAAAGACTGAAAGTACATAATGAAGAACAGAAGTATGTGTTCCTCTGACCCGGGTAACTTTTGGGTTAGGTCTGGGTTTTAAGATCAAAGTGGGCTTTAAATGTAAAATGAGTACAGCTCTGTTGTATTTGCATTCCCCTGATGATCAGTAACTTTATTCCCTCCAAACAACTGTACAGTCATTTTATTGTTGTATAAGATTTAATGTCTCATCTTAAAACAGAGCAGCTATTTGAACTTATATAAAATTTACACATGGACTAAACCATTTATTATGTTTTTATCTGCTATTATTGTTATTGTTTGGAAATACTTAGTTGTCTGCTGTCAGTACATTTATCTATAACTATGAGTGAAACCGTGGGTTAACTTGCCATGTTCATGTGACCATTTATCCTGATTACTGATGTTAGAGTAAATGAATCCAGATAAAAGAAAAATACTGTGGATATGTGGATCTCATTTCATAGTGCAGGGTCCAGGATAATAAGGTGAAGCCAATGAGGGCAGAGCAGACAGTCATAACAGAGGGACAACACAGGAAGTAAAATCACCAAAGTGACATGTCCTAAATAACAGGAAACAGCAAAGAACAAGACTTTAGAAAACCTAGGCAGGGAGGTCACCGGGGAAAAATGTGTATCCCTTGAGCAGTTGGCATGTGGTTGCTGTATTTAAATGGATGAAATAGATCGCAAAGAGGATGCTGCACCATTAACTGCCTTGTGTTTACTTTGGTCGCTGGCAGATTAAATAAAATGACAGTAGAAATCTCTGTAAATTAAAAAGCTGTCACAGTGCACTTCTGTTTGAAACCATCCTCACTTCTCCTGTCAGGTTATTGAGCCTGTTGATCTTCATCTTTTCCAGGAACGTTCCATAATGGCATCGCAGAGGGGGAGGTGGACCCCAGCTTCGGGCCCCTGGAGGCCATGCGTCTCTCAGTGATCACGGACTCACCAGTCTGGGTGATCCTCAGCGAGGTGAGATCGCCTCAGAGTTAAATCAAACTAAAACTAACCAAAAGACAGTGTTGTATTGAGACATTTATCCACACTTACTGCTGAGTATTGACAGAAGAAGTCCTTGGAGAGGATTCTGAAGTCTCCGGGGTATTCTGTAATCCTTTCTTTACTCTGTCTGTACAAACTGGTCCAGTATATTAAGTCCTTTTCAGTGAATATGGTCCCAGTGCCCAATCTAAGAACTAATTTCAGGTATATTCACCAGAAAAAGACAGAAAGTTGGTACCACTGATGTCAGTGTCCAGCAGGTTTTCTGAAAGATTTCTTTTAAAAAAAAAAAAAAATTTATTGTATTTTATTTCATTGGACTGATAGTTCAGGAAGCAGAGCTGTGCCCCGAATCAGCTACAGTAGCTCCAGTTAGTGACAGACTGCAGTAAAGTTGACTATTAGGCCGACAGTTGTCATGTCTTATCAGAGCTTAGATAAGATCCACGCACAAACGATGACAGCACAGTGAATATTAACTGAAAGCTCTCCTGTAGTAATGCGGCCAACACACCGGGAAAGCAACCTGTGAGTCTCCAGATGGAACGATAATTAGAGCGTGGCTGAAAATAAAAACAGCTTGAATCCGTGCTGCAGCTCGCCCATCAGCTGTGAAGCAAAGCTGCAGACGCATCAGTCTCGATAATGATTGGATTTATAGATGCAGGGCCACACGTGAAACTGGGCACAGCTTGTGATGAATGCTCTCACTTTTTCTAGGCAGCCACCTGCTTTTTCAGAAACTGATCAAACATCCAGGTTACCGTGCTTGTTTCTGCTCCTCTCATTAAAGTTTATTCAAACTTTAATAGATCTATCATATCTTCTGAATATCCGCTGTATTTGGAGTTACGAGGGGTCAGATAGGCTATATAAGTGAAAAGCGGCAGGTTTGGACCCCCACCATACTTCCTGTGTGATCGTGCAAAGCAGCTGATGCTGAGCAGGTCAGGCGGGTTTGTCTCGTTATGATTTTAGTGATTCTCTGTGACTCACGCCTTGGCCGTCTCTCCTCTCTCAGATCTTCATAAAGAAAGCCGAGTAAAGCTCCGCCCCCTCGAAGTTACCTCAGCGGCGTTCAGACGAGCTGACCGGAAGCTCCTCTGCTCCCGTCCTGCCTCGTCCCGCTCACCAGATCCCCACCGCGGTGCCACAGCGCCGCCGCCTGGCAGGACCTCGGCGCTGCAGGACTGAACAGATCAGAGACTGAGACACAGCGACAGGTGGGCTCACCTGTCTCCACCCAGAGGAGTGATGTCATTACTCCTCATCCTGTATTTATGTGTACATACAGTAAGCTCAATGTTGAAACACTGGTAATCACGGAGGCTGTGGCAAGAGCGGCGAGCCACCTCTGATGATCGATCTGCTGCTTTGGGACTTCCTGTCTGCAGACGGGACCTTCCTGCCCCGCCCACAGTACCCGTGTATGTGCGTCCACTCGCTGCGTGTGGTGATGTGTGTGCTGCAGGCGTTTCCCCTCCTTCAATTTGCCTTAACGAAGAGCAGAGTCACTTCAAACAGGCCCCGCCTCCCAACATGTAGCGTCCACAAATACCCAGAATCCTCTGCTGCAGCCTCGGACCTTCTTCCCGTTATCGTGGTTTCAAACTACTGACGAAGACGCCGACGAGTTTCTGTTCATGACCACATCTTTAAGTTACCGAGGCCTTCACACTGACTGCTCTGTGTCCTGATTACTCTGATTACTCTGCAGTACACCACTGTACCCTGAGGCATTCCTCAGTACCATGTAGTACTCTGATTACTCTGCTGTACTCCACTGTGCTCTGAGGTATTCCTCAGTACCATGCAGTACTCTGATTACTGTGTAATACTCTGATTACTCTGACATACTCCAGTGTACTCTGAGGTATTCCTCTGTGTTTTGCAGTACTCTGATTACTCTGCAATACTCCATTGTATTCTGAGAGTCTTTGGTACTCTGTGGTTCCTCATTAGTACTCTGAAATACGCCACTGTATCCTGAGATATTCCACATCACTTTGACTGTTATTCAGTACTCTAATTACATTAAAATAGTCTAGAGTACTCAAAAATATTCCACAGTACTCTGAATTCCTCAGAAGACTGTAAAATGCTTTGAGGTATTCCACAGTCTCCTGAGGTACCATGGAGTACTTTGAGGGTTGTTTTTTTTTAATACTTTGAGGTACACTCCACAGTACTTTGAAGTATTCAACAGTCCCCTGATTACTCTGCATTGGTCTTACTCTGCAGTACTCTCAAATACTTCGCAGTACTGTGAGGTATTCCACAGTACTATGCAGTACTACTACAGTGTGCCTCAGAACACTGGGGTAATCAGGGTACTGCAGAGAGTATTGAAAAATAATCAGAGAACCGTCCCTCAGAGGGACTCTGAGATATTATGGACTAATCTGAGATACTTTGCTGATGTATTTTGTAGTACTCTGATGTACTCTGTTGTACCACTTGGGTACTTTTCCTTCTTGTGTCTTCTCCACAGGTCGATTTTTAGTTTTTCTGAGCAGACGCCGTCGTCCTTCGGCTCTTTGTCTCGCGCTGAGCGACGGTGTCAGTGTCGTCTTACAGGAGAGAAGTTTGTGATAAATTGTTCCCTCGTTTGCAGATTTTAATCTGTTCCCCGAACAGCTGCCTTAAAGTGACGTAATTCATGACATTATCATTGTTTCTTTTGTGCGTCTAACTTTGGACCGACTGAATTTAATTGACTTCATGTTGGATCGACTGATTTATGAGGACATTTGTCAGATTTAGGGGCCACATTACCTCTCTGAAAGACCGAGAGCGAAATGAACATCCTGTCAAAGTTTATTAAAACTCCAGAATCACTTTTAAGGACTTACGTTCTTGGGTTTTCGAGGTGGATAATGGCCAGGGCTCTGATTAATCTCCTGAGTTCTGGACATTTTGAGGTCTTGAACTGGACTAAAGTGAAGAGCGAGGGGCCATCCGGAGGCTCTCTCCTTCTCTAGTGGTTCTGTGGTTTAACAATGAGTAAATATGTGGTGTTCTAAGTGCTGTCATCTGCCTTTAAAACACAAATGTAGGACAAAAGAGTGTTTTAGTGTGTTGTTCCTTCTGTAACATTTAATGCTGTTTTAACTTAATTTCACCCGTTATTTCTGCACTTCTGGAAGCTTTAAACCATGTTATGAAGTGCGAGTGTGGCTCGAAGGTTATTGCTTTGATCCCTGCGGTTATACTGGGCAGCTTCCAGTGGATGTGTTGAAGTGCACTGCCTTTGCACTCAGTGCAGTCGCTCATAAGAAACAACAAAACATACCCAGTAATTCTAATTTGTTTCCATTATTATTGTACTAATTATATCTTCAAATACACACAACAACAGTGAAGTGAAGCTGAAACATGAAACCGTATTTTATTCACAGTAAAACACGGAAAACGCGGTAACACGTCTCTAAAAAGGGCCACATTTCCCTCTGTGCAGCATCTCCTCTTCTTTGAACAACAGTCTGTAAACATCTGGGCACTGAGGAGAGCGGCTGCTGGAATTTTTCAAGAGGAATAGCATCACATTCCTCTCTGATTCTAGCTGCTCACACAGTACAAATTGGCTTGCTAATATGCAGAAACACCACAGGATGTAGCTTTGACGTCTATAATCTGATCACAGAAATCCACAGGAACAGGCTAAGTGAAGTAAAGGAGGTAAATGAACCACGGGAACAGTTTATCGAGACTCTCCTGCATTAAGATGTGTCTCTCTTTCCTGTACAAACTGTCACTAGTTCAGATTTTCAGATGTGAAGTCAGCTGATCAGTGATATTAGGCTAAATTAACTCTAGCTTCAGGAAACATCCCAGGATTTTATTTTTTTTATTTTCTTTGAAAGATGCACTGGAATGCATTGCTATCATCTTGTATGTGTCTTTTGTATCCTTTAGATAAACTCTATTTAAATGAGCTTAAACTTCTATCCAATCTGTGAATTGTAATAAAGACAGAAATTTAAGTGGTTTCCTCGTGTCTTTTAATTTCAGCATCTCTTCTAATGCAGGAAAGTCTTTCTTTTTCCAGATTCCACCCCCCGTGAGGTTTGTTAAAACTGAGCAAAAAGCTTCCTAAATAATTAATGTTTGCTCGTTTTCGTCATTTTCTGATCAGATTAATGCATTCATACTGACGTTTCTGTAATGAGGTGAATTGACAGGCTTTATGAATGAGGAGGAATTCACATTCAAAAAATTAACTTCACACTGTCACGAAAACTAAACTTCACTTTGACATAGAGACATGAAAAAAGGAGAAGGTATGGAGGAACGTTTTGTGAAAATATTTACAGAATATGTTAAAAAGGTCTTTGCTACTCTTTTCAGATGAAAGCTGACATTTTCCAGGGGTGTATCTGACATCATCTGGCTTCTCATGATGGAAAATTCATTGTATGTTTGTACGTTCAAGTGTGAGTCAAATAAGGAAACTAGGATTAATTAGGAGAATAAATCAGTGCATCATCTGCATGTAAACTGACATTTTCCAAGGAACTGAGCATTCTGAGCAGATTCAGTAAAAAACACAGGTCCTTATTCTGAGCCTTTTGGTACACCAGTATTTATTGTAAAGGTGAAGAAACACAGATTCACAGACCAGAATGTGAAGCACAAACTGCTCGTCATCATCATCAATGTGAATTTCTGTCAGGGTGATAACTCGATCATCGTGCTGTGGTTCTGCTCTTAAATGAACTGATTGATAAATGGGATGAAGAGTAACTTCGTCAGCAGAGCTGTTTCCATCGAAACTATCCAACAACAGAAAATTTCTGCTCTGCACCGTTGTATTTGTACTACAACAGGACGAAAAACATACATATGACACAGGAGTGCTGTTATGAGGTTAAGTGTTAAAAAGCATCTTTTTCTACTTACTTTATTTACTTTTACACTTCTGTCATAAAATAGAGTGAAAATAGGGTTTTTCATCACTTTTGAACATTTTAATACTGCAGTAATTATAAATGATTCTATGAATGAAATTAATGACATTTGGTTGTTCCAAATGTCAGTAAGGACTTGAGGTATGCGCATATTTGGCTGCAGAGTTGTCAGGTGGGTGATGTGGAAGAGGCGAGTAGTTTTCGGGAAACTTTGTTTCATCACAAAAATGATGAAATGGCAGCATCACTCATTGTTTTTTGCAGGAGCTGCTTCATCACACAGACTCTGTGATCTTCAGGTGGAGAACTGAATGTTTGTCTATAGTCTTGTAAGGTCTTTACCTTACAATATGATGTGCTTTGGATTTTTTTATGAGCCTAATCTAAATCAAACTGAGTTGATTTGAATTTAAAAGTGTGTTTATGTCCAACTCAATCTGAAAAAAGTCAGGTGACAAGAAGTGCTGAAGACTGAAAAAATTAACTCTTTTAATTAGGATCACTTTAAAAGTCACAAATAATTCAGCAGGTGGATGGGTACCTTTAACAACCAGCTCTGGAAGAGAACTGAGTTTTGGTTTAGAAGGGTAACGGCACCATGTGGTGTGGCGGTCACATGCAGGAAGATCACATGATTCTTAGAGCTCTGCTCTGACACAGAGTCAAGCATCAGAACATTTTCTTCGATGATAAAGCATCACTATCTGTGGCTTCATAGTGTAGGGATTAACACCTTCAGCTAATACACAGAAGATCCCTTTTCAAGTCCAGGAGGTCACCCAAATCTCTGGGGACAGCTGGAAGGTCATCTGATCTGAAAACCTGACAAAATCAAGCATGCCGATCTATTTGCTGTGGCGACCCCTGGTGAATAAGGGAACAGCCCAAAGAAGCTTTATAAAGAATCAGTCTTATGTGATTTATGTTTATTCAGTCGCTGCTAATTAGGGCACAATAACATCCAGTTAAAATCCTAGAGTTTCACTCAGCAATACTGGAGCTCAGACCTGTTGGATGGTCTGTTTATTCAATTTACCACAAAGCAGCCATATTAGATAATTGCATTAAAAATATTCTAAAAGGCTCAAACAGTACAAACACAGTCCACGGGTCCAGTTCAGAGACTCCAATTAGCTGACTCACTACTGGAGCCTTAGGTAGATGTTAGAGGATCTTGATTGATTGATTGATTGATTGATTGATTGATTGATTGATTGATTGATTGATTGATTGATTGATTGATTGATTGATATACCTTTATTAGTCCCACAAGGGGAAATTTCATAAGGCTGCCGACCTATTGCATGCAATGGCGGTGCCATCTCTTACCCTCCGACCATACATACATTTCACAAAACATCACATGGGGAAGACAGGTCAGAGAGGTATAACAATGGAAAATGCACCACATGAGGAAAGATAAGGAGAAAAAAATAACTCCCCCCAGACTGAGCTCCAACAGGGAGATCAGTTTGAGAACAGAAAAAAACACCTCTGCACATAAGAGCACATGAAAAAAAAACTCTTAATACACCAAAGAAACACATGACAAGCAACAGGGGTGGATAAAGGGTGAGAGACAGCCAATGTAGACAGTCCATCCGGGCCTGCAGCCTGTGCTCCGGTCTCCTTGATCCACCATCAGCATCGGAAGGGAATAAGCGTCGAAGGCGTTTGGAAAGGGAGGGGGGATGAGTGTGTGCATATCAGTGTATATGTATGTGTGTGCGTGTCCAGAGTTCAGCTGAGACAGTCCTTCGCCCTGCCAGGCTAAGTAAACAGTCTTCCAGCCAACCCAGGTGGCCTTGCATGGAATGGGAAGGAACAGTCTAAACACAGTCGTTATCAGGGTGTTTTTTGTTCGGCTCCAGCCTTGCGACCGCAGCTGGCGCTGAGAGGGTATCCGCATGAAGTGATGCTGCTTTTTACTTTAGTGCGAACAACTCATATGAATTTCAAAGCTGTTCTAACAGTCCAACACTGGTCTCTCAATCTCCCGTTGGAGAGCCGTGAGCTTTCTATGGTGTTATCCAAACTTAGGTTCCGTGATGTTGTCATTCTTTTTGCTCAAAGAGCAGTTTCTGAGAACTCACGACCGCAGTGCACTTCCCCAAGATGTGATCGAATTTGCGCTCAAAGGTGTTATTTGAGCTAGCCCCTCCAGATGTAATCCAGTTTTTCACTCAGAGGTCTTGTTCTGAGTATTCACGGCAGCCGTGCGTTCTCCAAGATCTTCTCCGTGCTGCACTCAATGAGCCCATTTTGAGAAACTCACGCCTCGTCCCATCATTTCAATCCCAGCGGGCAGCCTTGTGGGGTTTGAAATTAGAACTAATTTTTCAGGCCTGAAGGTCTCGCTTTAGCATCAAAGAAGAAGCTGCGCCCGCTCAGTTGTCAACTGTTAATCAAAGCTATGTCAGCATGCCTTGATTGGCTGTTGTTTCAGTGATGATCACACTAACAACAACACCACTTCACAGGTCAAGGGACTCTCAAACACAGAAACCACACGTATTTAAATTGTGATTTCCCAGGTAAACAACACACACATGCTTTTCCCCCCCTAGACTTTATCAAACAGTCTTTTAGTGCAGACCGGTGTGCATGTTTACTGTGTGCACAAAAATGAAAATTCATTTTTGTTTCTCATTAAAGTAAAGGTAACTTTTTTCTTCTTTTTTTTTTTTATCTCATATTTGTGTACCAAATGTGTATTTCAGGTGCTGTTAGATTAGAAATACATGTAATAAATACTTTTTACAATAAATTTGACCTTTGTTTCTGCTCTGAATAAAACTGTTCCCCAGAGACTGTATGATTTGGTTACAGTTAGCATAAATTTTTAAAAAAGTCATAATTAAACTAAGTTATTAAATAAATAGCTTTGGAAATTCAGAATGTTTTATCCGATGAAGCAAATATGCGAAATAAAGACCGTTTTCATGTCTTTAATAGGTTAGAACCGAATTAAATCAGTTTATGAATCAAAATCTGCAAAAATCAGTTTCAATCTCATCCCGAATTCTTAAGCCTTTTCATAAGCATGACTGCAGCCAATGAGGACACACTTCCCCTGGCAGCTCAGCCAATCATCGCTGTCCACGAGGTGCAGCTCCATATGGGCGGGTCGAGCGAGAGTTTCTGTTGACCAATCAGCTCCTGACAGTTGACAGGAAACGTCAAAGTTACGCGCTGGATAACCAATCGGCGACGGGGGAAGTCGGTTAGTGCCCTCCAGGACCCCACGTGATCCTCCTCAGTAGTTCCCAGGCGGCGCACGGGTGAGCTTGAGGTGAGTGAAAACGCCAATAAATGAGAATTTTAAAGGGTAGCTCAGCCGAATACAACTGTTTTCTGACAGGTGGTGTTCCGTTCACGTCGCCCGGGCTGTAGTTATTTACATGCTGTCGGTTTCTATCCGTTAAATCTCCTCTCCGTGGCTCCTGCGGGCAGTTAGCACCGGGCTGATGGCTAATTAACCGCAGGTGAACCCAGCTAGCCGTTAGCCCGCTGCCGTGGCCTCCGTTAGCGGTTAATAAACCTTAAACCCGAGTCTTGTCCCGGTGATCTGGTTTGATTAACATGCATTACAGTCGGGTTTTTTCTCACAGCGAAACTAAAATTGGTCCGACTGCTTCATTCAAAGTCGGGTGTTCCGTAAGGTGCTATGCTAACATTGGGCTAAGCAGGATCTGGAGGAGGTGGGCGGTGTTTTTTAGGCTCTTTGAAGGGTTTAGGATCAGCTGTTAAACTGTCCAGAGAAAGCTTTAGGATCCGGGTAGCAAAGCCTGCAGGAGGCTGGCAGAAAAAAATGGGTGTATGAAAACAAAGTTAATCATAAGCTACGCGCTTTCATGACTGACCTCCATTCACCTGTCCGCTGTCACAGGTGTGTTAGCATCATTAGAGGTAGACACTGCAGATTCAGTGACCATTGTGGTCGAACTTGTCAGACTATCACGGTGAAAAAGTGGATGGAAATGAGCTGATCCTAGGCGGTATTAAGCACAGGTTTTTACCAGTATGACTTGGAATTACCAGTAGGGGGCGACTCCTCTCATTTTAAAGTAAAACCA